GAATGTGGACTGGGAGCAGTTATTTCAGGGAAAATCTACATCTGGCATGTGGGAGGCTTTAAAAGCCCAGTTGATTAAAGTGCAGGACATGCATGTCCCTGCAAAACTGAAAGATAGGAATGGCAGGATTCAGGAACCATGAATGACAAGGGAGTTTTAAGACTAGTCAAAAGGAAAAAGGAATCATACAATTGGTCTAGGCAGCTACAAACTGACTAAACCATTGAGGAGTATAGAAAAAGTAGGAAAGAACTTAAACGTGGAATTAGGAAGGCTAAAAGGGGCCGTGAAATGTCTTTAGCAAATAGGGTCAAGGGGAATTGATTGATTGATTTTTGTCACATGTACCAAAATACAGTGAAAAGCTTAGTTTACAAGCAGATCACAGCAAGCAAAGGATGTACAGATCAAAAGACTTAAAGGCATACAGGTTACATTTCAGGTTACATTATTTGAGGCTGGAGTCCATTCAACAGTCTGATAATGGCCAGAAAGAAGCTGTTCCTGAATCTGCTTGTGCATGTGTTCAAGCTTCTATATCTTTTGTCTGACAGAAGAGGTTGTAGGAGGTCATTACCAGGGTGAGATGAGTCTTTGATGATGTTGGCCACCTTTCTGCGGCAGCGAGCCGTGTAAATAGAGTTCATGGATGGAAGGTTGGCTTCCATGATGGTCTGGGCTGTGCACACCACCTTCTGTAGTTTCTTACAGTCCTGGGCAGAGCAGATGCCACACCAGGCCGTTATGCACCCCAACAATATGGTTTCAATGGTGCATCTGTAGAAGTTGGTAAGGGACCTTATGGACATGACAAATTTCCTGAGCTGCCTGAGGAAGAAGAGGCATTGTTGTGCCTTCTTGACTGTCGCATCTACGTGGGATATCCAGGACAGGTCATTGGTTATTGTTGCTCCGAGGAACTTGATGCTCTTCACCCTCTCAACCTCAGTTCCGTTGAGGTAGATAGGGGCGTGTTCTCCTCCCTTTTTTCTGAAGTCGACGATCAGTTCTTTAGTTTTGCCAACGTTGAGAGATTGTTTTCATTGCACCATGTCACCAAGCCCTCTATCTCCCAAGGCTTTTTATGCATTTATTAGAAGGAAGAGGGTAGTAAGGGAAAGAGCAGGCCCACTCAAGGGCAAAGGTGAGAAGTTATAATGTGGGGAAGCCACGGGAAGTGGGGGGAGATCCTTAATGAGTACTTTGTATTGGTGTTCACCAAGGAAAAGACATGACTGGCTTAGAGGTCAGGGATGAGTGTGTGTATGCTCTAGAGAATGTCAATATATTGAGGGAGGAAGTTTTGGGTATCCTAAATTACAAAAAAGTAGACAAGTCCCAGGACCAGATGGGATCTATCCCAGGTTATTGCAAGAGGTAAGGAAAGAAATAGCTCAGGCATCAGCAGATATCTTCACAACCTCTTTGACCACAAGTGAAGTTCCAGAGGACTGGAGATTAGCCAGTGTTGTTTCCTTGTTTAAGAAAGGAAGCAGGGATAATCCAGGAAATTATAGGCAGGTGACCCTGACGTCTGTGGTGGGGAAGCTCTTGGAGAAGATATTGAGGGACAATATATATGCTCATTTAGAAGAAAATGGACTAGTTAGTGACGGGCAACATGGTTTTGTATGGAGAAAGTCATGTCTCACCAACCTGATTGAATTTTTTGAAGAGGTGACAAAGATAATTGATGATGGAAGGGCTGTGGATATAGTTTATATGGACTTTAGTAATGCATTTGATAATCCCACATTTATACATTAATGATCTAGATGAAGGAACTGAGGGCATCCTGGAAGTTTGCAGACGATACAAAGATAGGTAGAGGGTCAGGTAGTATTGAGGATGCGGGGAGGCTGCAGAAGGATTTGGACAAGTTAGGAGAGTGGGCAAAGAAGTGGCAGATGGAGTACAACATGGGAAAGTGTGAGGTCATACACTTTGGTAAGAAGAATACAGCTATGGACTATTTTCTAAATGGGGAGAAAATGTAGAAGTCTGAAATGCAAAGAGACTTGGGAGTTCTCGTCCAGGAATCTCTCAAGGTAAACTTGCAGGTTGAGTCAGTAGTTGGGAAGGCATATACAACTTTGGCATTTATTTTGAGAGAATTTGAATATAAAAGCACGGATGTACTTCTGAGGCTCTATAAAGCTCTGATTAGGCTACATTTGGAGTATTGTGCGCAGTTTTGGGCCCCATATCTCAGCCCTGGAGGAGGTTCACGAGAGTGGTCCCAGGAATGAAAAGATTAACATCTGAGGAACGTTTGAGGACTCTGGGACTATACTCATTGGAGTATAGAAGGATGAGGGGGGGATCTAATTGAAACTTACAGAATACTGAATGGCCTGGACAGAGTGGATGTTAGGAAGACGTTTCCATTGGTAAAACAGACTAGAATACGAGTGCACAGGCTTTGAGTAAAGGGAAGACCTTTTAGAACAGAGACAAGGAGAAATTTCTTCAGCCAGAGAGTGGTGAATCTATGGAATTCACTGCCACAGAAGGCTGTGGAGGTTAGGTCATTGAGTAAATTTAAGACAGAGATAGATAGGTTCTTGATTGTCAAGGGGATTAGGGGTTACGGGGAGAATGCGGGAGAATGGGGTTGAGAAACTTATTAGCCATGATTGAATGGCGGAGCAGACTCGATGGGTTGAATGGCCTAATTTCTGCTCCTATGTCTTATAGTCTTATGGCAGATTGGTACAAAAACTAAAATCATGTGGGATTTGGGGTGGGCTGGCTAGATGGATACAAAACTGGCTTGGTCATAGAAGAAAGAGGGTAGTAGTGAAAGGATGTTTTTCAGAATGTAGACAGGTAATTAGTGGTGTTCTACAGGGGTCAGTCTTAGGTCCTTTGTTGTTTATAGTATATATAAATCATCTGGAGGAAAATGTTGGTCTGATTGGCGAGTTTTCAGATGACACGAAGATTGCTGGAGTTGCTGATAGTGCCGACAATTGTGAAAGGATACAATAGGACACAGATAGATTGGTGACTTGGGCACAGAAATGTCAGATGGAGTTTAATCCAGACAAATGAAAGGTGATGCATGTTGGAGGATCAAATTTAGGTGTGAATTGTACGGTAAATGGCAGAACCCTTACGAACATTAACATTCAGACGGATCTGGGTGTGCAGGTCCAGGTCCCTAAAACATAGAACATAGAACATTACAGCACAGTACAGGCCCTTCGGCCCTCGATGTTGCGCCGACCTGTGAAAACCAATCTGAAGCCCATCTAACCTAAACTATTCCATTATCATCCATATGTTTATCCAATGACCATTTAAATGCCCTTAAAGTGGGCGAGTCTACTATTTTTGCAGGCAGGGCATTCCACGCCCTTACTACTCTCTGAGTAAAGAACCTACCTCTGACATCTGTCCTATATCTATCACCCCTCAATTTAAAGCTATGTCCCCTCGTGCTAGCCATCACCATCCGAGGAAAAAGGCTCCCACTGTCCACCCTATCTAATCCTTTGATGATCTTGTATGTCTCTATCAAGTCACCTCTTAACCTTCTTCTCTCTAACGAAAACAGCCTCAATACCCTCAGCCTTTCCTCATAAGACCTTCCCTCCATACCAGGCAACATCCTGGTAAATCTCCTCTGCACCCTTTCCAATGCTTCCACATCCTTCCTATAATGCGGTGACCAGAACTGTACGCAATACTCCAAGTGCGGCCGCACCAGAGTTTTGTACAGCAACATAGTGGCAACATAGCTGGCCAAGGTAATTATAAAGGCATATGATGGCTCACTGCCATCTTCTCTAAAGGAAATAATATCGCACAATAACTGCTAGCTTTGTCATACTAGAATTCTTTGAGGAGGTAACAAGTAAAGTAGATAAAGAGGAAGTAGTGGATTTTCAGAAGGCATTTGGTAACATGCCACACATTAGGCTATTTGATAACAGCCCATGGTATTAAAGATAGAATATTAGCATAGATAGAGGATTAGCTAATAGAAAACAGAAACAAAAGCAGTACCGGCTGGAAAAACTCAGCAGGTCTGGCAGCATCTGTAGCGAGAAAGCAGAATTAAAATTTCGAGTTCAGTGATCCTTCTTTAGAACTCTACCCAAAATACCATAACCTTCTTCAAATATTAATTTAGGACTATTAAAATTCACCTGCAACATTCGACCAGCAAGACTGCACCATCTCCAGATCGAGATGCTGTCTCTCCAATCCCACTACCTCCTCGCTCTATACCTCTCCCCCGCCTCCTCCCTTTCACACTCTTCATTCCCACTCCAGCTCCGCCCTCTCATCCGCCTCTTCCTCCCGTTCACTCCGCCTCCTCCATCATCCCCCTCCCCCTCCCCATCCAAGCACTCACGCTCTTTCTCCTCGTCCTTCCCCTACAGACCCGCCCCTCCTTCTCCCATTCATACTCCAACCCCGCCCCCTTGCCCCCCCCCTGCCGGTTCCCCCCTCCAGCCCGCCCCGCCCTCCTCTTGCCCCGCCCTCCTCTTTAAGGGACTCGGCAGCGTCTGCCACATCCCACTGTGACGTCAGCAGGGCCGACTGGCCGCTTCCTTTGCCGCCGCCATATTGCTGGAAAGAAATCCAGCGACGGGAAATTCGGTTTCTCCCTTGCCCAGAATTTTCACCTTGTACCGCCGGCATTGAGCGAAAACAACCGCTCCCTTCCTTGTCAAATTTATGAAGCCTCTTTCCTGACAAGACAGAAACCGTAGCGGCCGATCTCCGATCCTCCTCGAGCCATGTCGACTCTCACTCAGAGGAGCTCCGGCCTTGTCCAAAGGAAGACCGAAGCTTCGAGGAACGCGGAAAAAATCCCTGACGGCGACGACGACCGGAGGGCCGAACATGAGCAGGAAGACGAGAAAGGCGACTCTAAAGAAACTCGTCTGACCCTGATGGAGGAGGTCCTGCTCTTGGGCCTGAAGGATCGGGAGGTCTTATTTATTTTATTCCGTTTCCATGAGCTGCAATAACATGGCTATGTCTGCCTCTTTAGGTTAAAGACGGTCTGATTTTGTATGAAAGTGTAGGCCCGCAAGATTGTCAACCTAACCTGAACGGAAGGTGTTTGAAGGGAGAGGCGGGTTCGAGAGATGATTGAGGTGTTTACTGACCAGTACTGAAGGGCGTAATTGCAGGGGTAGATGGTGGGATGGAGTTAGTCCAATAGGACTGACGGAGGGTGGTTCTTTCTGCTCATCAAGTGTGGTTGTACACAATACCTGCGCTGACTGAACACCAGCTCAGTTCCGGTTGCAGGCTGACTGAGAGCCAAATGTTAGTGCTGGGAAGACTGGTACAGCAAATGTATCAAGTATGGAGCCGTTTATAAGAAAGACTTTGTCATTTTTCTAGTGGGGTGATGAACTGAATAGCACAACTTTTGTGCAAGGGAACAGAGACACCAGGAAATCTGAAATTTAAGAGGAACCTGGGATTGTCAAGTCCAGACAACACGAAACAATATCAATTTATGTTTATGCAGCAGGATCGTGGTAGAAAAACGTCCCAAGGCACATCACAGGAACTTTGCAAAACAACTGACTCTTAGCCACCCAAGGGGATAATTGGGATTGGTTAAATGCTCCGTTAAAGAGGTAGGAAAATAATGAAGAAGGATGAGCGAGTTAAGAGAAGAAATGCAAGAACTTGGGTCACTGACCCCTGAGCATTTAGAATCAGGGATGCTCCAGGCCATAACTGGAAGATCACGTCATTCTTTGCCGGAGGTGGAGACAGGAATGTGTGAAGCAATGGAGGGATTCAAAAACATAGTTGTGTGTTTTAAAACTAAGTTGCTTCAACAAAAAGTCACACTAGGTTAACAAACAATGATGGGTGAATGGAACTCTGTTAGTATATGGCAGGTAGAAATTTGATTTTTTTTCATGGAGGATAAATGTGTGATACTGACCAGGTGTGTGTTTTCATTGTCAACGTAACAAAGAAATAGATGAGGGGTGCAAAAACAGATGAGACCGGGATGAAGTTGGGTATTGTAATTAATGTATAAGGGTTGTTAGTAATGGTGCAACATGTGGTCAGAAGCTCCGCTAAGGATATTATAAGATGCTGGAGTTGTGAGCGGTCTGGTTTTGCCTCACCGACTTGCTAGAGACAACGATAGATTTCTTGACTAAGAAATCTTAATTTCAGAGGAACTCTGAGTCTTGATACAGGAACCAGGTTTAGTTTAAAAATACTTCAGCTTCTGCATTTGCAAGACTGTATGTTTTGCCTTTCTTAGTGTTTGAAGCTGTTGATGGTTTTGGAGCAATTCAGTAAATTTATGCATTTAGATGAAATTGCTCTAGAATTATTTTAGTCTAGCTTGCTAAGCATACCACAAGGTGCTGGAGTTATGAACAGTCTGGCCCCAACACTTGCCAGGGTGAAGGATAGAGTCTTCCATTTAGTTGTTGGAATCTTTGCTCATTCAATCCTGAGTATTGGACAAGAGTCTCTGCAATGCAGAACTAATGTCATGTCGGTGGTGACGGGGTAGAACTGAGTGTTGTCAACTTGCGTGCGAAAACTGACATTCTATTTTTGGTGATTAATTGTCATGGGCAGCATTGTAGATAGGTAAAAGGAGGTTCTCCAAAGATGGTGTCCTTTAAAGGATCTAAATATAATGATTTGGAAGCATTGCAGGTGATCCTTTGATATGAATGCAATTAGTCAACTGCTTTTCTATCTAGTTGGCTGATGGTGAGGTGTTGGAGATGGAAGACATGGGTCAACTGCAGCTAGGATCTGTAGGGATAGTTTGCCTTTGACATTAACATGATATAATTTATGATTTTGATAGAGGCTATTTTAGTACTGTGGCAGAGACAGAAATTTGATTGCAAAGAGTTAAATTTGAAGCTCTCAAGGTTGGAGACATTTTGGTATAGATTGTGGAATGATTTGTGAACGTAACTTTATTTAATTTTCAATATTGATGGACGATCTGTGTAGTTTCACAATGCTAACTTATATTTATCTGAGCTTGGAAGACATAATTTAATAGTTACTGTAGTCTACATGTAGTGCAACAACTTTGCTGAAATTTTAAGAGTTGTGAAAGGCTTGCCGATACATTAATTCTGTAGAAACTGAGTCTTGATACAGGAGTTGCAGTTTAAAAATACTTCAACTTGCGCATTTGCATGGCTGTATGATTTCTGTTCCTTTGAAAAATGCTTGAGGCTCTTAAATGCTAATTATAAAATAGTTGTAAAAAGAATATTTACAAAGTTAGATATTTTTAGGTAAAATTGCTCTACAACTGTTCGAGGTTGGTGTTTGCTAAGTGATTTTTGTTTTGGAATAGTCCTAATCTAAATCCAAGAATAAAGTCAGACTTGCCCAATTTGCTGTTTAAAAAAAATCTATTGATTGTCATTACAGTATTCAAATGATGGCTTTTGTCCCGTTATTGTAGGTTGCTACTACAGTTACTTATATGATAGTGTTTTAGATTTCATTTTATGAAGTAACTTCCTTGCACAATTTCTGTATCCAGAATAAATTTAGAAATGCTTATCTGTACTAAGTTCTTTGGTTTGAGGGTAAAGTAGTGAAGGTTTGAGGTTTCTTTTAAGATTAGTTGTATTGCGAGAATGGGGTAAGTCAAAAGTGCAGCCATGAAGTTGAGCCAAACGCATGGCTATCTGTTTTTAGTGCAGCAGTTGAAAGTTATAAGTGCTTCCATGGAAACTGCTCCAGTTTTTTGGAATGATAGATGCTAAAAAAGCATGTTCTGTCAGGATTGTTCTTCAATTTCCTTGATTTACACTTTCCTTCTGTTATGAATAAAGTAGAAAACTGGTGTTTAAGATTGGAAATAAAACAAGAAAAATGCTGGAAATACATGTCTGGTGGCATCTGTAGGAAGAGAAACACTGGCCCAACCAGCTCTATGTTAAGATAAGTAACGATGAAGAAGAGAAAGATCTATTGCAGTAAAATCTTACGTTACGTACACTGTTTCAAGATAGCGCTGGAGCATGGTGACATTTTGCGTTTGCATGTGTGAAAACACTTTTTTCACCACATTTTTGTATACATTTGACAATAAGTCAAATATAAATCCTATTCCCTCAATTGTTGTGGCTTCAAGACAGCTTCAGGGCAGATGATTTTATGGTTACTTAGAATAGTCAAGAAGCATGGTCAGTATTCAGGAACCTTTTGTAAATTGTTCAAAACGTTTACCATGTCCACTCACCTCATATGCACTATGAGAAACCACATAGATAGGAAGAAATAGATGCTTGGTCACTTATTTCTGTTGATACAGTTCCCAGATGACCTTTTAATGAATGTTTGTTTTGTAGAGCTGAACTCGAACGTATTGCAATGGATTTGCTTGGAGGGGTTATGATTCAGCAAGTAGAAGTGGAGCGTTTGGTGCATTTTGAGATTATGGTTTACTACTTTCTTGTTCTAATCTGTCAACATCTGTTTTTTCTGCATGATATTAGAGGTGTGCAGTGAGGGATAGGTACTATGAATGGCTCCACCTGATTAAGGTGTATGGTTGCAAGAACAGGTTTTTTTTTTGGTTTATTTTCTCCTCCATATTTCAAGACTTAATAATGTTACATGGCTCATTGGTTCTATACAAACTGTACAGAGTAGGTGAGCATGGGGGAGGAGAATAGGAAATGCGATGAGGGGTAAGGGCAACTAAGAGCTTTAAATACCTAGAGGTATGCCTTGTAACCAGCCTGCTTTGGCAATCGGCCACCCTCTCCGAGCCTGCCTTCATTCTGCTTCCAGAGCTTACATGATTAACTATTCCCATCAATTCCCTAGAGCAAAATTGCTTGTGACCAGGCTGTTGATACGGAGAAGAGTCTGCCAAGTCAGAAAACAAAAGAATCTAGCCCAACATTTCACATTTCAAAACATGAAAAATAATTGATCTGAATATCTTTACTGTGTGTACATTCTACCAGATAAGTATTTTCAGTATATTCTACACGTAATGGAGAAAAATGTATTGAGATTCGGGATTTTCATGCTAATCTTACATGGCAGATTCCTGATTTGTAATCAAATCATTTAGTGTAGCCCAAGAAACAGATGGGGTTGAAAGCCAAGGTCATCCAGATTACTGATGCATCCTACCAGATATTGTACACTGTTGCTTTGAAATAAATTGTGCCTTTGGACTTGTTTTGAAAGTTCCCAGAAAGGAGGACCTTTTTGTTTAAATTGTCTGTCATTTTAAAAAAAAATTGTTTTCCCATAAAGAAAGCTGGTTATTATATATAGCATATTATCCTGATGTTTTATATGAAAACTAGGATCAGGAGTAGGTAGTTCACCCTCTCGTCTGCTCTGCTATTCAATATGATCATAGCTGATCTCATCTTGGCCTCAACTTCTCCTCTTTCCAGCCCACTCCCCATAACCCTTCAACTACTCTGAATTGAGGGTGCAATTTGAGAAAAACAGTATTTGGAGCATTTATTTTTGTATCTTGATAAATTTTGTAGAATTCAAGCTGTTGACTTGAAACTTTGCTGATTAGCTTACAGTTTAGCACTCTGATTATTTGAAAAACTGAGTAAAATCTTCAAGCGCCAGCAAATTTTGGCATCTTAATTGAACCTGTTAATTTAGAAGACATTAATGTATTTCAGGTGTGGTAGACTAGTGTGATTTCATTAAATGCAGCCAAAAATACGCCCATTCCACTCTTTCTGTCTGCCTAATTCAGGTTTTTTTCACTTGATCCTGCAGCGTGTAATTTGAACACAAGCCAAATATATTAAATTGAGCCAAAAATTCCAGATGTAAGATATGTACAAAACCATAAGTTAATGACTTGAATTAAAAATCTTTGAAAATGCTTGTACCATACTTTTTAAATTGGGGAAGGGGAGGGGAACAATTAAAGTTAGTGACAAAACAAAATTCATTATTTTTTGTTAAGTTT